AATAAAAAGAAGTCACTTCTATGCTCGCGAACGGTTAATTTAGAAATTCGAAAAAGGTTGTTAAAGGTGTATGTTTGGAGCACGGCGTTGTACGGGTGCGAAACATGGACAGTGGGCGCGGAGGAAAAGAAAAGGTTAGAAGCGTTCGAAATGTGGTGTTATAGGCGAATGATGAGGATACCGTGGATAGAGAAGGTTAGAAATGAAGAGGTATTAGAAAGAATAGGAGAACAGAGGATTCTATGGAAGTTAATAAAGAATAGGCGAGATAGGTTGGTAGGACACCTTCTCAGGCATGTAGGTCTGGCCAAAGACATAAAGGCAGAAACAGGAGTTAAGAGGAGTAGAGGTAGACCTAGATCAGATTACTGTTTACAAATAGTTAATGATGTGGGATGTTCTAGTTTTGGGGAAATACGAAGATTAGCTCAGGATAGGAAAGAGTGGAGGTGCGTGTCAAACCAGTCTTCGGACTGACGACCTTATTATCATGATACGTTACTATCGAGAGGTTGTTTTTTCCATTACTGATCCAATGAATAGATGCTTATTTACTATGTTTAATACATTTCCTTTTCTTTTACAGCAAAAAGACTCGGAGAACAATGCTACTACCGAGAATCATGTCTGTATTCAGACTCCCACTCGTCGTGTATACAGGTACATCACAACGCAATTTGCCAATGTGACTCAGGTTACCACCTGGTTTCGTTGCAAAAACCATCCAATAGGACGTTTTGTGCAGCCGGTAAGCTCGTTGAATCAATCAAATTCAATTATATAAATCAAGGTGAATATACCATAACAAATTAGATCAATTAAAGTGCAACACAAAATTCTTAATTGTTATACAACATTAAATACAAGGTTTTTCCAATAAACATCAAGATTTCTTTCACAAAAAGTGAATTAGAATTCTGACAACGATTGCTGTTGGAATACCGCGTTTAAACAGCTTCCCCTGCGACTATAATTCCAAACTGATACCCTTTCAGGTTCCTTTTCAATAATGGGAGTACATAAAGGTCAGGTTTCTCGGACAATATCCTTGCAATCAATTTTATGTAAATATTCCTCTCGTGCAAATAATCCGTCACAATCCAATATACTCTTGATTTGCAAATTGGTTATTCATCTGCCAATCTGACTCATAACTATCGAGTAGAACAAACAAAATAGCTCAAACCCCAACGCCAAAACACGGCACTTTAGTTGTCCGAAACACTTTTCGGTAACAAGGTTACCTTCTTCAGGGACTGAGTTCTACAGTTCACTTCAGTTACAGTTCAGAAGGTAACCTTGTTACCGAAAAGTGCTTCGTACAACTAAAGTGTCGTGTTTTGACGTTGGGGTTTTGAGCTATTTTGTTTGTTCTACAACAACCGCCAAAGTTTTTCCAGTCTTCATATTTTATAAATATCGATCCCAATTCGACAAATTGGTAAAAATTTTCGCGACTTTCAGTTTGTGAACTGATGCTGTCCCGATTCGGATGTAAAATCCGTCGCCAATTGGAGTTGCTAAGACTAGTGACGAGTTTCTACAGAAATCCTTCCATCTCCGATGCTGGATGTGGTCCACCACAAACGTTAGCAAGCAACTCCAAACGACAACGGCCTTTAGACCCGAATCAGGACACCATCAGTTCTCTCAATTTGATAGTCTTTTTTTCACATTTTCGTCACTCAGGACTATCGTTAGCAATCCTTCTCCTTGCCCCCCCCCCCATCCTTATCTAAGTATTTTATACCATATAGAAAACTTATGGTTTCCGTTCCTAATAAGCGTAATAAACGTGATGTAAGCTTCTGTGCTGGATAGTTTTAATTTGTTACTGTAATCTTCAATCGCATAGCGGGCTCACCTTGGGAATGCGCAGAGGATCGAACAGGATTGAATCCTAATACACCTGAAGTTCTACCTTACCTCTTTCATCGCTTATTTTATGTTGTTAGGAATAATTATTTCCGATATTTGTTGGACCTTACATTTGTTAATATTAATAAAATTATTCGAAGGGGTCTGTATTCTGTCGAAACTGCCAGACGCGGCAGACGCGGATCGCGATTTCGATCTTTTTGGATTTCATCAGCGCGTTGCAGGCAGCTCCAACAAAACACAGACCAACTTTTACCTGCTGTCTTAACAGCGCGTTTTAGAAAATACCACAAATGGCGCGGTAAACGCCATCTGTAGTACGATGCCACATTTTAGGAGTACGTATGCTCCAGCATAAATATGTAATCCTAAAATGTAGCATCGTACTACAGATGGCGTTTACCGCGCCATTTGTGGTATTTTGTTAATATTATTCAATTAATCTATAAACAACTCGGAAATGTAATGCATTACAAACATTTGTTGTTTTTCAGATGTCAAAATCATGACGACCGATTATTCCACCCTCGCGGGGGTGTTATCCGGCATTGCCCTTTTGTCCGGCTTAATATGTTTCGTCTTACACCTCTTCAATCAGAACCGTTACGGAGGCCCGCACCGTTTCGCCAACGCCAACATACCACCCCCAATCTTCTTTTCAAACGATGCAGGTAGTTTTCATGTTTTGTCGACGTTAGGTGTGTCGATGTGTTTTTAAGTGTTTTCCCGTATAGCCCTCCCCCTCTCTCTGTTATTCAGAATGTCAGGTTAGTGTTTATTACCAAACATAAGTACGTACCTACACTTATGTATCTGGTTATTGTGTTTCTCTCATTTCACTTTTCTTTCTCTTCAATGCCAATGCTGTTATCAACGTGTTTACGGCTTTTCAAGGCTTTCCATGTTTACGCTTATGTTTTTTACATTTTACACGTTACAAATCATAGAATTTAGAAATGGAATTACGACTGGGTCTTTTTCAGAAGGCGAAATCTGCAATAAATTATTCAACTACACGGAGATAAAAATGTTCAGTCTCGCACAGTCTCTGAAAGCGAGACTCGAGTTTCCGTCTCTCATCGAGTCTCTCTGGTGTCGCTAAGAGAGACTGTCGAGAGACTGTCTAAAAAACTGTTTAGCGTTTCTGAACGAGAGACTCTAATCGCTCATTTCTTATCCAGTCTCTGAACGAGAGACTCGAATCTCTGAACGAGAGACTCGAATCTCTCAATAGTCTCGATAGGCATGGATAAAATTTTCTAAGTTCAACATATTTCAGAGATCCCAATCTTTCTACGGGAGACTCGAGTCTCTCAATTTTTCAGTTTTATTCATTCAGTCTCTCTGTGAGAGACTCGAATCTGTGAATTAACAATTCTATCGTTCGAGTCTCTCATACAGAGACTGTGAGAGATCCATAAAAACTCCTAGGCAATAACTGAGAGACTGTAAAAGACTGTGAGAGACGCTCTCAGAGACGCTAAAAGACGCTGAAACTGGAGTCTGTCTAAGAATGACAATGCGAAAATTTTAATTTTTGAATATAAATGACTCAATTTGCTGTAGAAATAGTAGAATTTATTAGGTAACTTGTAATAATCTCTATTTTGACATGTTTTATTAAAAATTATTAGGTTTCATAATTATTACAATTTAATTTGTTATATCAACTAAAACACCTANACGGTATCCTGATCATTCGCCTATGCAGATTGATTTGATGTTTTCGATTATTTAATTAGTCGGAATTTCATGTTCGTACCATCGAGGTAGTCGGGTATTTAATCATCTTTTATGGACAGGGTGTGTGCGTGTGTGTTTTGGAAATGTGGTTAAAACCAATAGCGTTTGTTTTCAACGCTAAAAGCTGTGCTGCTACTTGCTTTAATGTCATGCATGAATTTATCATGGCACCAATTGGCTTTATAATTATCCGTAGAAAATTATAGAAACAGATTTTAATTGGGATTTGCAAATCAGGAGGAAGAAACGAAAATACTTATAAATTTATTATTAACAGCTGCATCGAATTTTCGCATTTTACACAATAGCCTGATAGATGATCATTTATAGGTTAGGTTAGAATTGGGGCTCCAGACCAAAATCGCTCCAAAAATGTTTTCATCAATTTCCGGTCTTTCTACATAACAGAATTAGATATTAGAAGGTGGGAGAGACAGTTTTTTATGACTTTTTTTTCAATGATAATTTTTCAAAATTCATATTACAGTTATAACTGTAGGTACGAGAAGAGATGGGTGAGGAGATCAAGGGCAGAAGCTTTTAATTTCCTAATCTCATGATTGTCACTGCATAAAATTCTTTTATTAATATTAAAAGAAATGAAATGTGACTCCCCACCTCAAATATAATCAATAAACCCTTAGAAATCGATGAAGAAATTTTGGTCTGGAGCCCCAATCGTACGAATTGTATGAAATTCCGATATTGTACTAGGAAATGTATAAAAGTAAAGCGTTCTGTGAATAAAATACTCCAACGTAGATTAGATATTAGAAGGTGGGGGAGACAGTCTTTTATAACTTCATAAATAAATAGTACATTACGTATCGAGGGAAGAAACAGGGTTTTTTCAGACTGCATGTGAATTGTCACCCGAGCCGAAGGCGAAGGTGGCAAACATGCAGTCTGGGATAACCCTGTTTCTTCCCGAGGTACGTATACTATTTTTTGTCATGTTTGTGCGGAAAGCTCGTCATTAAATTGATTGTTGGCGAAATAAGAGTAAATGATTTAGAGGTTAGAAAGACATTGTCATTGAACAACTGATTTCTGCGCATGCTCATAAACATCGGCGCATGCGCTCAAAAGACTAATTTCATTTCCTCTCGACTAAAACACGACTGAAAAGGGGCCATTTCTTCCCTATTTCATAGCATGCAAAACGAGCTTTCCGCGCTAACATGACAAAAAAAATATTTTTGAATGATAATTTTTCAAAATTGCCTCAAATCTGGATAATTACCTGCATTGGTGACGTCATTGTTTGGTTAGGTAAATTTATGACAGATTGGAGTTTATTCCATGCTTCAATTTTTTGCCCGATATGTTGGCAGATATGTTAGAGTATTTTATTCACAGAAAGCATTAGTTTTACACATTTCCTGGAACAATATCGGAATTTCATATAATTTCTAGAATTGAGGCGGGGGAGACACATTTTTTTTTATTACAACATAAATCATAGGATATAACTTTTAAGCCCTTCCCCCCTTCCGCCCCTAATCTTCTCACCCATCTCTTCCCGTACCTGCAGTTTTGAACTGTGGTTAGAATTTTGAAAAATTAACATTAAAAAAAAAAAGCTTTCTTTGTTTTATTTATGAAGTCATAAAAAACTGTATCTCCCACCTTCTAATATCTAATTCAATTATGCAGAATGACCG